AAAGTGAGGATTTTTTGGAGGATTCTCCAAGGTGTCAACCATCGAGAGCATTATTTGTAGGGGTCCTCTTTGGGACTCATTTTTCGATGAATTTTTTTTTAATGCTGAATATCTAGGGGTACCTACTAGATGTCACACCATTCTATTGCATATGGTTTTCTTATAGATATGTTGGTCTCCATATTTATTTTCCCATATGTCAGGACCTTTCGATGATGGTTCTTAGATTTACATTCAAGTGTCATGCTTCGATGCTGATCGTATATATCTTGATTCTTTATTTACTCTACCATCATAATAGATGGCTATTTTTCATTATATCGGGACCTTTCAGTGATGACTTTTTGGATATAAAAACTAAGTGTCATGTCCAGATGTTCATTGTAAATATCTTAATTCTTTCTTTAATCTACCATTATAATAGATGGTTGATTTTCCCTCTATCGGGACCTTTTAGTGATACCTTCTTGGACAAAGAGACCAAGAGTCACATCCTGATGTTCATCGTATAAAACCTAGTATTATAATTATCATTTTTTTGCTACTATAATAGCGCTTAGACTGACTAACCAAAGATGGAAATGTTGCATTTTAGATTTTACAATTTATTTTTTGTATCATATGAGTTTTTGATGATACCAAAATATTATTGTGATGATTGCAATTTCTCCTAATATATATTCGATATTTTTTGTCTGTGTTGTTTGTGTACTAACGTTTCAGAAAAATCATACTTCAAATTATCGTAGACTTCAATATATATTAGATTAGAATTTCTTGTAATTGATGTCTATACTTATTTTTTTTTTAATTTGAGAGAGTGTGATTGTAATTGGGTAATCGTGTACACACACACTGGAGTAGTGAGTCAAAAGCTTTTTTTAAAAAAAAAACTAATTATACTATATAATTCTTGAATCGTACTAGATGATTTGACATGAAAGTTCCTCCATAACAGAGTTAATCGAAACATGCCTTGAAAATTTTCTTTGTGTTGTTCGTACTGCATGAAGTTGGATTCATACAGATGACTCAAGAGTACGAAATGGATATGTACCAATTCATCCCAAACGAACAAGTAAATTTCTGAACTGATCGTACTATACAAAATTAATTTTATGCAGGTGACGTCTAGAGTACGAAATGGGATCATCCATTTTCATACCATACGAAGCATGATTTGATTTAACAAGTTCATATTGTACGATGTAGTGTTCGTACAGATGATGACCAGCATACGAAATGGGTTCGTACATAATCATAGAGAACGAACCTGTTCAATTTTGAACTTTTCATACATTATAATATAAGTTCATATATACGATTGTTGTAGTACAAAATCAGTTCGTATATGATTGTACATGGATTTTTTGTACTATTCATACATACGAAGTACAATCACACTGTATGATCCAAGTACGTTTGACTTGAAATTTTCAATTTTCTAGACGATTTGTCTTGTCCTTCATATATAAGAGTCATAAAAAAAGACTATCACAAATCTTTTGTGAATTTTTCTCTTGGGTGTGATAGAGAGGGTATTTTGGGAGAGTGTTTGGGAGAGAGGGTTGAAAGATCTTCCAAGTGAAAATTGTGAAGGGTTCACAAAGTTATTCAAAGGTGAAGATCTCTTTGTATGTTCTTCAAATATATGCCCTACTTCTTTGAAGACTCTTGAGAGAAGATCTTTTGAGAAGATCTAGTACTCTGCCATCACGAGGAGGTTGAGAAAGGACGCCGATACTCTACCATCACCAGAAGGGTGAGAAAGGACGTCGGTACTCTACCATCATTTAAAGGGTGAGAAAGGATTTTGGTACTCTACCATTACCATGAGGGTGAGAAAGGATGTTGGTACTCTGTCGCACAAGAATTTGGTGGAAAAGAGGTTATTATAAAGGCTTCTCCGCCTTGCTGTGGGAGCAAAAGGAGAATTACTTTGGTATTGTGCAATACCTGAAAAAGGTGTCTTCAGGGAGTGGATGTAGGTCTAGTTGGACCGAACCACTTTAAAATTTGGTGTTCCTTTATCTTTATGTTTTACTATTTTTTATTTTCTACACATTTAATTTTTTTTTGAAAAATATATTTGAGAAAATTTTAATTATTGTGCAAAAGATCTAAATCAGTTTTCTAAATTATCAAGAGGTTTTTTAAATTATCAATTCAACCCCCCTCTTGGTTAGCCTTGGGATAAATATATTAGATTTAATAACCTATTCAAACTTTCAAGTTATATTAGAGCTTAGTTTCAAAAATTAAGATTTATACAACTTTTTGAAAATGATAATGTCTACTTTTGAAAATCGTAACACACTTGAAAGATATTTGATCACTAAACCACCATTGTTTGATAACATTCCTTTCGACTTTTAGAAAATTCGTATGTCTGCTTTTTTCAATCGCTTGACTATCACACGTGGATTGTAGTACATGAAGGTTACACTAGACCCACTAAATTTGTTGATGGCATTAGGACTGAAATACTATTTATATTAGATAGTAGAAGAAAAAGACTTAACTCATTTAAACGCAAAATGTTTGAACAGTTTCTTTTGTGCCATAAAATCTGAGTATTATATGCCTGTTTCAACCTATAAATTGGAAAAGAAATTTGAGATAGACTTTGTATTACGTATGAAGTAACTAATTAAGTGAAACAATCCAGATTGAACATTCTTACATAATTATGTTTTTTTTTGCATGAAACCAAATGAATCAATCACTGGCTTGTATACTCGTTTTACACATATAGTCACTTCATTGCATGCTTTAGGTACGGAACTAATGAAATTTGAGAAAGTTAATAAAATTTTTCATTATTTGCCTACTGCTTATGATGCAAAGATAACTCTATAACTGAGTTAAAAGACTTGAATGTTTATTTTATTGACAATCTACTTGGGTCACTAATTGCTTACGAGTAAGAAGTGACACAAAGACAGATTGATGCATGTGAAATGTGGAAGGAGAAAATATTTTGTTGAAAGTGGATGACTCGAAAAGTGATCAGTCTCAGCCTGAGGATGAAGAGAATGTTGTCTTAATGATGAGGCAAATCAGAAGTTTTCTAGGAGGAAGCAATGAAGATGTCAACAGTGGAACAAAGGTAAGTTCCACAAAATAGAAAAATTTTAAATGACGTGATTTATTATGAATGCAGGAAGCTATGACATATTAAATTTGATTACCCAAATATCAAAGCTATTCCTAACAAGGAGAAGGTTGAGGAGAAAACCAATGTTAGGAAGGACAAGAAGAGATTGCAAAAAGAATTCTGGGCGGACTTAACTTTAAATTCTTCAAAAATATAAGTAGAAGAGAAAGTCACAAACTTGTGTTTAATGGCAGACAAGCATGATCAGTCCGATCAAGATGAGGTATGTGATTTATCTTACGATGAGTTATTTGAATTTTCTGAGAAAATTAATACTACGTATAGGAAACTTAAAAAATTGCATGCTAAACTTAATATACAGTATTCAAATTTATAAAAAGAGCATAAAATCCTTAGTAACGATCACATTGATTGATATCAACCACATTAAGTTATTGGATGAATTTGATGATTTGAATAAAAATATGAATTATTGAAGACATCTTATATTGATTTTGAAAATGAATGTAAGGTCTATATAGATAAAACAAATCAAAGAGGATATGAGTAAAGAGTTGACAATGCTGATTTAGAAAGTGCTAACTCATATCTTAAAGTGAAACTGAAAGCTCTTAAGAAAAATAGGACACCCCCATCACTTAAACAATTTTTTAATCCTGATCAAAATCATAACATTTCAAAACCTAGGACAATAAAGTATAACTCACATAGATTGATAAATTATTTTTTATAGTTAAATATTTTTCTTGTGGAATGATTGGTCATATCTCACATACTTGTACAATTCATAGTAAAACTCATATAGTGTGGAGACTTAAGATGCATAAAATACAACATATCAAACATGCATCTATATTATTATTACTAAGAGGTGAACCCAAGGGACTGATAACTTAGGAGAGAGATGATCCGTTTATTCCGGTTGAAGAAGAATTTTGAATTTTCGTTCGCGGTTTTTCCGCTGGATGCTAATGGCATCAGAGGATCGCCGGACTCAGGCTTCCGGAGTCTCAGTCAACCTCCGTCAACCTCCACCATCATCTCGAAAGATCTTACGACAGTTCGATTCGTCTCCACCTGCTTTTGGAGACGTTGTTCACGAGAAGGAAATTATGTTTCGGTTTAACAAAGAGCGGCCATTGATCATCAAGGAAGGAGCTTTCGAAGAAAAAAAGAAGATCGTTGAATGTGTTGGAAAAGGTAAACAAATTCTCTATGAAGATTCCAGATTGAAGTCTTACGGTAAACAAGGAACAATTCAACAAAAAGTAAATCAGATCCAAATAGAGGAGTGTGCTCAATCTTCATGTAAGAATGCGGCAGAAGAAGTTAAGAAGAATTTGAATGGTGATCAGAATGATAACCAGATTACTGATGATCTGGGTATAGAAGGAGTCAATATGACGTCAAAGGAAAACGAAGGAGTGGACAAGGCTATTCGAAGCTCTGACCTGTTCATAGTGCGGGAATGTGAAGCTAGAGATCTTGGGAATTGCATTCAAAGAAACAATGTGGTTGATTCGAATCTTGTTACTGAAAAACAAGGATTGAATGCTTGGAAAAAGAAGGATAATATAAAAGTGTCTGAACTTGATTTCGGAAGCATCTTTGTGAATGAAGACGGAACTGTCAAACTACATGTGGGAAAAGAGGTTGATAACTCAAATAGACTGAAAAAGTCTCTGGTTATAAAGATATTTGGTAACAACATTCCCTTTAATGTCATTAGCATTGAGTTAAGAAAACAATGGTCCAGATTCGACAAATTTCATTTAACCCAACTAGGTCTTGGTTGGGTGCTTTGCGCGCCTTTGAGAATCAAGAAGCTCTTGAAGAAATAATTGTTTCAGGTCCCTGGTACGTCAATTGAAACATAGTGGGAATGGACAGATGGTCAGCAACTTTCTCACCTAATTCACTTCAAGGTCTTACAGCCATAATTTGGATCCGTTTGCCAAACCTTCCACTTCAATGCTGGGATGAAGTGAACTTTTGTATAATTGCTTCCATGGTGGGGATCCCTTATTTGATCGATGGAAACATGTTCCAGTGGTCTAGAAGTGAGTTCGCAAGAGTTTGCGTGAGAATCAAACTAGATGAGAAGCTTCCCATGGGAGTTTGGGTTGAAGGAGAGCTGGGAAAATTTTATCAGAACATTGAATACGAAAGGCTGCCAACATTTTGCTTCATTTGTCGTAAGATTGGCCACTTAAGGGAGGAATGTTTGAAGAAATCTTCAGCAAATGAACCTAATCCAGGAGATGAAGACCCAATCAGTAAAGGATTAGAAGGAAATGGAGATGCCAGGAAAAACTGTCCAAAACAGAGTCAGCTAGATAATGGAAAAAAAGATGATGATGGAGAAGGTTATGGTCCATGGATTAATGTGGACTACAAAGCTAAGAAGATTAATAAAAAATTTCTATGAGCAAGGAAATTATAAAGTCAAAATCTACCTTGGAAGGGATCTCAAAGGAAGTTGTTAGACCAAACAATTCTAGCAGGGAGTTTGATGGGAATATCCTGTTAAAACAAATTTCAATTGATTCTAGCATGAATCAAAAAGCAGGTGAAGTGGTTAATGATTCTACTCCTAATATAGAATTATGCTATATCGTGGATGATAAAAGACCTGAAAAGGCTTCTGAGATCAAAATTCCAAATTCTACAAATAAGTTTGAAATTCTAAGTAACATAGCAGAGGAAGGGGAAATAATAGAGGAATGTTTACATCCTAAGGAACAGGAAGATATTCAGATAGAGACAGCTAATGGGGGTTCTAAAGTTTGTGAAGGTAATTTGTCCATGGTTAAGAAGAGAGGTACTAAGCAGTTAAAAAACTTGGGACCTATCAGCCTGAAGACAAGGGGCAGGAAAAATGAAGAAGATGCTAAGGAGAAAGGGGGAATTAATTCCCCATTGATCCATAAATGAATTCCTTATTATTTTGGAATTGTAGAGGAGCCAAGAAAAAAAGGGCTTCTCTCTACCTCAAGGAGGTGGTTAAAGATCAAAATGTTATTTTTGTTGGGCTTTTGGAGACTAAACTAGTCTCTATTGAGAATAAAGATGTGGATATTATGATTGGAAATGGATGGAATTACAGCTTTGTGCCGTCTGCAGGTTTATCTGGGGGCATTTTTGTTATGTGGAGAAGCAGCCAAGCTAAATTTAAAATGCAAGTCTTCTTCTCAATTCATTGTAGGTGATTTAGATATCACTAATAAAGGAAAATGGAGAGTAGCTACTATTTATGGTAGCAAAAATGTGTACAATAGAAGGTTTCTTTGGAACGGCTTGGAAAAACACATCACCAATGATTGGCCTTTGGTGTTTGGTGGAGATTTCAACTGTCTTTTGGCTAAAGAAGACAAGATTGGTGGCAAGAAATTTACATTCTCTATAGGGCCGAGAGAGATGAAATACTTTATGACTTCAAATGATCTTCATGAGCTGAACTTCATTGGTCCTAGAAAAACTTGGAGCAATAATAAGAAAGGAAATGAAAGGATAATGGAGAGATTAGACCGAATTCTGGTTAATGCTGCTGCAATGAACTGCAATCAATACATGGTTACAAAACATCTTCCTAGAATAGCGTCTGATCACTGTCCTATTCTTCTCCATACTTCAGTTTTTCCTTCAAACATCAAGAGATCTATCAAATTCGAGGATGTGTGGGCTTCATATCCGATTTCCTATGCTATAGTGAAAAATGCTTGGATGAGAAGAGACTCAGGATCTCCTGCAGAAATTCTGAATTACAAATTCAAAAGGACTCTCAAATCCTTATTATTTTGGAATAAGGCTAAGCACAAAGAATTAAATCACATGAAGGACTTGCTCAAAGAAGAAGTTCTCATGCTCCAAACTAAAGAATCGGAAGTTGGTATGCTTTCCATGGATGAGTATTCAATTCTGAAATTTAAAATCAGTGAGCTCAACTCTACTTTGGCAAGGTTAAACACGTGGTGGAGACAAAGATCCAAAGTTAAATGGATAGAAGCAGGAGACCATAATTCAAATTTTTTTCACTCTATGGCAAGTGCTAGAAAGAATATTAATCTAATTCATTGCATTAAGGATGGCAATGGAATTCTAGTGGATAATCAGAATCAAATTGAAGACATTTTGGTACACTACTTCTATAATAAGTGGCGAGATAGAAGATGTTTTCTTGAAGGTTGGCCGAATAGACAATCTGTTCTGGATGAGGATGATAAAAGACTGTTAAGTATAGAATTCAGTTTTGAAGAAGTAGAAAATGCAATCAAAGATACCACAGGAGGTTCTTCTCCAGGTGAAGACGGTATTATTAATTCTTTTCTCAAACATTATTGACCTATTATAAAAACAGAATTCTGGGAAGCTATGAAGAACTTTCTTGAAATCGGAAGTATGAATGAGGATTGGAAGAGAACTTTGATTGTTCTAATTCCAAAAATCAACAATCCAAAATGTGTTGATAATTATAGGCCTATTAGCCTGTGTAACACGGTGTATAAAATTGCAACCAAAATTCTTCTTAGCAGAATGAAAGGTATTATCCCGAAACTAATCTCACTTGAACAAGCCGCCTTTCTTAGAGGGAGATCTCTACAAGACCATATTTTGCTTGCTAATGAACTTATTCATAAGTTCAGATTCTCAAAAGCTTCTAAAGGGCTGGTGTCTATTAAATTAGACATGGAAAAAGCATATGACTCTATGGGATGGCCTACTCTTAAAAAAATTCTTGAATATTTTTAGTTTCCAGATTTCTTCTCTATGCTTATTTTAGAATGTGTATAGAATCCTGCATTTTCTATTTTAATTAATGGAACTCCTTCCAAATGGATCAAAGCTAGGTGTGGATTTAGACAAGGGTGCCCCTTGTCTCCTTATCTTTTTATTTTATGCTCTCAGCTCCTCTCCAATGCCATAAATGAAAGAGATGATTTTGGTGTTCGGGTTAGCAACAATAGCCCAAGAATCTCGCACTTATTATATGCTGACGACATAATCTTCTTTGCTAAAGCTAAAATAAAAAATATAAGAAAGATAAAAGGGATTGTTAGCAGTTACTGTGACTGGACTGGACAGAAGGTGAACACGAGCAAAACGGCCATGTTGTTTGGGAAAGAAGTCACCAGCGTTAAGAGGAGAAAAATCAAAAGAATCATGGGATTCAAAGAAGTGAAGGAATTCAATTGCTTGGGAACAAAATTGTCTGTAAAAAGACTGTCAAAAGTAGATTTCCAATTCATATTGGATAAAATTATAAAGAAACTAAATAATTGGGGGACCATATTTTTCTCCTTAGCAGGTAAAATTACATTCACAAAGTATGTCATTCTATCGATCCCTTCTTTCCATTCTACTGTGTCTTTAGTGCTGAAATCTATTCTTAAAGAGGTGGAAAGGATTTGCCGAACTTTCTAGGAATGCATTATGTTAGCTGGAAGAAGTTGTGTGATCCTGTTGAACAAGGCGGTAGAGGGATTCAATCCTGTTTGAGCAAAACGGGTCCTTTAAGAGCTAAATTAACATGGAAATATATGAAAGAACATGAATCTTTATTGCATAAATTTATGTTTCCAAAATATGGTTCCTATTGGGGAGCAGAAAACAGGAATAAATCAGTTTCTGCAGCATGGAAAATTATCAAAGATGGCAGCAAATGTGAGACCTCGCTCCCTTACTGTTCCTCTCTGATTTGGATTTTCCTCTCAGGATCGTCCAGGACGATTTTAGATCGTCCAGGACGATCGGCACTGTAGAAAATATCGGCCTGAGAATAGTTCTGGGAACCGTCCAGGACGATTTTTCTGGTTGGTAATTGTTTGAATAATTGATTGACATTCTTTCCAAGTTAGATCTTGGGGCATCACAGCAAATCCTTGAGAAATATATTGAGATAGAATGTATCAAATGGTTGCTCAATTGATGTTTTTGAAGATACATGGATTTGGGATAAATGCTTAAACAAATGACCTACATTTGTTAACTCTCAAGAAGCTGGTGCTTATGCTATTAGAGTGGATTGTTTGATTTCTGAAAATCAATGGAGTATTCCAGATCTTAAGAAATATTTTGGCAAAGAGCTGATGGATTTAATTCATAGAATCGATATAAATCCGGGACTAATTAAAGATCAATTTGATCTCATTCACATGGAATCTGGAAGGACTATTACTTACATGGTTGTGGATCAAAAAGAAGATAAATCAAATGACAATGCAGAATGAAAATGGTCGAAAAAAGCTAAACTTTGTGAAAGAGTAGACAATTTCTGGTGGAGAGTCATGAACAATGCCTTGCCTACCAATGCTTTTTTAACACAGAGAAGAATTCATACGGAATCTAACTGTCCTAGAAACTGTAATGAGGAGGAGAATATTAGCCATCTAATTTGTAAATGTCAAAAGATTGTGGATGCTATTCATCATTTGAATGAATGGGGCTTTTGCACTCCTCTTTTTGTAAATAAAGAAGAGATGTATAAATGGCTATCCGAGCAAAATTCTTTTCTCTCTACATTAATATGCAATGCAGTTTATTTTACTTGGAAGGATAGGAATGATATAGTGCATGGAAAGAAGGAAAGAAGTTCTATCTACATAGCAGCCAATGCTGTTAGTTACCTATGAGTTCTCAATACTCCAAATTATATCAAATCGGGTAGGTTGAGTACCAATCAACAATTGTTGTTTGAAAATTGTTGGTATTCTCCTCCACCCAACTGGATCAAGGTGAATGTAGATGCTACATTATTTCATTCTTATAAAGGAGGTATTAGAGGAGTGGCTAGAGATCACAAAGGAAGATTTATAGCAGCTTATGGTATATCTCAGTTGCATTGGGATATTACTAATTTTGAGTATCAAGCCATAGCCTCAGTCAAAGAGAT